GAAGTTAGGAGAAATACATTGAATGTTTGTTATTGCTGAAGAAGACAGTGACATCGATGATTCTGCCTGATTCGATAGAGAAATACATTGAACTTAAACTTTATGAAAAACAATGAATGTTTGGATACAAGAACTAAAAACTCTTATATGTGATGATTAGTTTAGGGAATGTAATTATGTAATAGAAAGTAAAGCAATAGAGTAGTGTGTGTGCTTTGTCTCATCCTTTACCATGTCTTTTGATCCTAGCTTGTGTTTCTGCTGTGTATTGATTTGTGACCTCAATTCAACACTATCGAAAGAGTGAGATTCAAGATGGAACAACTAGATTGGAGTAGTGGTGGTGATACGAGATTTGAGCAAGCATCATCATGTTCAGCTTTAATATGTTGTTGTTGTTATTTGGATATTTGTTCACTCTTTTATTGAGTTTCTTGAATGTGTTTGAGCAAGCATCATCACTGGCAAGGTTCCATTTTGCTGAAACCCTCTCGCGCTGCTTCATTGATTCATTCAATCTCTATATTGTCTATGCTATGAAATTTGAACGTGCTTTATTTTGAATGTGTTTTTGATGTAGAAGACACCAAATCTGTCTTGTATAGGCTAAGTAGGAGACAAGACACTCAAATCAAAATATGTGTAGATCATGAATCTTTCATTTGCATTTGACAAGTTTTTGATGTGATTATGAACTATTGAAACACCAATTACACCAAACACCAATGACTCCAATTATTTTTTCCTAATTCATCAAATTACATCAAAACCAAACATCAAATTACATCAAAATCAAAATATTTTTAAAAAAAAAAATTTCTAAGAACCCACTAGAGAAACTACCATTGGACTAAGAAAATTTAAAAAAGAAAAACACAAGTTCTCATCTAAAAATTTCAAAAAAAATATGTTTAAACAATTGGTGAGAGCCCATGGGGGACTCTCACCATTGGAGATGCTCTAAGAGTTTGGTGCCTTCTTATTCAACTTGTCCTTATTTCGTTTTTCCACTCAAAACTCTTCAACATGGATGTGCTCATAGCAAAAGTATATACATACATCCAGTTTTTTTAATATACATTCGATGTATGTATTATATGATATATTCAAATAAATAATAATAAAAGTTAATTAATTTATAGCAAAATCAAACTATTTTAAAAATAACATAATTAACTGAACAAATAACTTAGCTAGCTTGAGTCAATATTTCATCAAAAAGTTCTCTAGTTTTTTTTATTGGGTATGTGTAGCAGAAGTGAATAAAATCCGAAGTTTAACAGAACTTGTTAGCGTACGAACAATTTAAGTGTATTAAAACCAATATACTTATGCATGTATATAAGAAAGTTTTTTTTTTTTTTTGTTAATAGTGTATGTATATTTTAACCTTGAAATATATTTAGAAATATTGAAGTGTGATGGTTTGTGAGTAGAAAAGAAGGAGATGGAAAGAACGACAAAGAGGTGTGCGGAACTGGGGTTGGTGTCCAACAAAGAAGAGACATCTAATATTATGTTCTCTACGTTGGGATCTTTTCTAAGTGACCCACTTTTGTTTTGCTGTCTTATATGTATATCTCACTTTCATGATTTCATCTATCTACGACTACAAACCATGCATCCCCATTTTACCCTACCATATGCTCTACATGACTACATCCATACGTGCGTCTCCAAATACAGACACTTTATCATATTCATATTACATTTTCAATATGTATGTGTATATGTGTTATAACTTATAACATATGTGAGAAAGATGATAGCAACGCAAAGAACACAACACATATTGACTTGGTTTAGTGATAATATATTGGCTAATTACACGGACAAATGAATCGATTTAGTACTAGCTAGAGACAAAAGGATGGGCAAAATCATGTGAGCCTAGACCCAAAGAGAAAACCTAAGCCAAAATTATGGTCCATAAAAAGAACAACTTTAGCAGACTCTCGAGCTAAGCAATCGAATTCAGTGTGTGTTTAAGTATAAGTGTATAACAAACAACGTAATGCAAGAAACACCATATGTTTTAAATATGACTAAATTTTGATATATGTAAGTGCTTGTAAGAAATACATTCGTTTAAATGAAAACAAAATAATACTTCCCAATTATACATTTTTCTTTCGAAATTTATGAGAATATATAATAGGATCAGTTTACTTCATATTAATTTATCGTACTTATGCAATTACTGTATATCACCGAAATACGATTAATGATGTAATAATATGCTTATGCAAACAAATTCCAAAATTATAAGAAATTTATGGATATCTCATGATTGCTTTCAGGTTCACGCTATGACCAATTGCTTTACAAGTTTTTTTCCCTAACTCATATGGGTTGGCAATTGGCATGATGATAATTAGGGCTAATTAATGATGATGACGACGACACAAGGAATTACTACCTTTAATTATCTATCTGTAAACAATTTTTAGGCCCTTTAGTCTAATGCCTTGAAGGTCCATTAATAAATTAATAGTGGATTTTTGAAAGAAAAAAAAAATTGACTGATTAAAAAAAAAGAATATATTTTACCTGCCAAAGTGAAAAGGTGCTTAGTAGTCACAAAAGCACAAACACAAATCATGTGATTGAGAAGACTACCACAATCTTAGTTACAATTTTAAAATCCTCATTCCATTCCAACTTTCACGTCTCTTCTAAATAATAAACTTTTCATTCTTACTATATATAAACAGTTATACGTAGATAAATATGATGTTACTCGAGCCATGTTCGAACATATGGAAAAGCCAAAGATTATTCTTGTCTGGTATGAAATTGAATACCTCCCTTATCTTATGTAGAATAGACTCTCCATGTGCACTGATTTATTGTAGATTCTTTGTTTTCTCACCTATATATATTATTTGATTTTATATAAAAAAGATTTGAAAATTTAATCTTATAGAGGGAAACACAGTAGGCCACATGCTCATGCTCTTTTTCTCTCCTTTTTCTTCTCCTGGCCAAGCCAAGCAGTGATGACATGTTTAAAGATTGCTCACGTTTTGGAAATTTTTGAAATATACATAAATATTATTTGAAATTATATATCATCTCTGATAGTTACAGTAAACCACTCTGTGGATTGATTCATTTGGAAACACATAACATCATGGATTTATTACATACGCCAATAATACAGAGTACTTCTAGCTAGACTTTTGGTTACTGATTCGCCTAATTGTTATTTTTAGAAAATAAAGAATACAATGTGTTGCTTTGCATGTGATTTTTTTCGAAGGAAAAAAATGGAAAACATGTGATGTCTATATATATATGAGCTAATTTAATTATTGAGATGTATAATGAGCATCTTTGATAGTATTGCGAAAACAATGATACAACTACATATGTATATACAATACGGATATGTAAGACGATAGAGAAGCATTGGATCCATTTATATAACAATTCTTTATTAGGTGTCAATCATATGACCATATCTTTGACTTGAATCTGATCCTATGATTGCATTTGTGGCTATGTAGTATTAGAAGAAAATGATTTATCCTTGAAACTATTACTCGGTTTTTCTTAGAAATAAAGAAATATATAATGAAACATTTGTTGCATAAATAATTTCAAAATTCTAAACAAAAGTTTGGAAATGTTTGGTGCCAAAAGCGAAAGGGAACATGGGATGGACCACAAAAAAAAAATTAAACTTTCGAATAAAATAAGTTAAGAACAAATAAAAAGATAATAAAACGACAAAAATATAATTAATAGTGCCACCCAACTTGTGGGGAATATCTAAGATGGGATAGTTTGTCTGGGTTGTTTGAGAAAGGTTATTAAAAAATTTATGAAGTAATTCGATTTTCTTTTAAAGTTCAAAAAAAGAGACTAGACTCGGATATTAGGACCATAAATGAAAACTTGTATTAAAACACAAACGGGTTAATAATTAGTTCATTATCATCATACTCTTTTGAAGCAAATAAAAATTGAATAAATTTTGCTATAGCTCTCATCTTAAAAAGAATTGATATTAGAGAAAAATGATATAAACTGTTATCCAATAACATTTAATAATCACATGGAAAGAAAATAAAGCCAATGCATAATGTTTTGATCTCGTGGTCAGTGTGCACAATACATAGTTTAGTTCTTCCATAGTTTAATTTCTCTTATAGAAGTATCATTGTAATGGTGACAAAACAAATTATGACAACCTAGATATATATGTGTAATGTGTTACGCTATATTTGCATAATTCAAAATTTGTTTAATGTATGTGCACGAGTTGTTGAAGCTTATGTGACCCACATAATTAATTTCACCGCCAATGAAAGCACTAGATATATGCATCAAATGGTATCAACGAAAAAATTTTAACGTCTTGTTATTTGAAAAGACAGAAAATCCATCCTACATTTTGGTGATTTTTTTAGTTGAAACAATGGGATAATGGCTGATAATATATCTTTAGTTTTAGTTTTACACGGCGTTTGGCACAGTCATGTTCCTAATTAATACTATACAGATCTGTGTTAAATTGTATAAGCTTCAAGTTTGGTGGGTATATATAGTAGGTGGACTTATTAGTAAGTTTTCGAATGATAAACTCACATAATTAATTTAAGCCCATATATGATGTTGTAAATTACTGTATAAGTTCATTTAAGGTCGGTCAAAGGAAATGATCATTGAAAGATAACAGTAATAACGGTATAAAATATAAATCATGCATGTGTTAAGGCCACAAGAATTCGTCTAATGTGTAGAGACGTCTTTTTTACTCCAAAGTCAAATATAAAGTAAAATTTTCAATGAGGACATAATAAAATAAAATAAAATAAAAAAGTTTAAAGATGAGAAGGTGGGAAAAAAAAAAGATAAAAGGGTGTTTTATTTTTTTTATTTAACAAGAAGAGAGGATCATGGCCATCTTTTATATCAATGGCCTTCGAGAAAAACACCATTGCTCCCACATTGAAAGAGAGAGAGAGAGAGAGAGAGAGTTCTTCACAGCAACTAGAGAAAGCATCCAAAGGGATCGCATTGATCCTAATTAAGCTGATTTATTCCCCAATATTACTCATTCGAAAGTTGGAGAAAAAAAGAAAAACAAATTCCAAACATTTGCTTTCTTTTCCGGATCATGCGATCTCTTTGGATTCATTCTTTGGTAGCTTTCACTCCGGTCAAAGGGTTTCATGACCAGAGACTTCACCGGCGGGAGATTCATCGATGGGTCGATCCAGTATTCCAGTCATATATATACAACAAGCAAAGTAAGAAAGTTTTGTTTCTACAAGCAAGTTTCAAAGATTAAGGATACATTTCAAGTAGACAAGAACCTGGTTTTTGTACCCCTTTTTTTGTCCTCACATCTTATTATCTGTATTTCTTGGTCATTGATTTGCTTATTTTCTATGGTTTTACATTTATTTGCTTATAGAAATTTTATTTAAAATTTAAGCTTTTTTTTTTACTATCCTATAAGCAATCTATTCCATGAAAACAAAATATACACCTTGGACATATAATGTTATCGTAATCATTTTTTTTTCTCTATAAACAAATTACTGAAAAGTATACGTATCAACTCTATAATTCAAAATTACATTTCATCAAACTTAGTCCAAAATCACGAATCATGAAGTACTTGGATCCCGTAAATGAGATCCGGTTCAATTCGACTTTATCACTTGTCTATAAATTAATTGAGAAGAATATATATTAGCGTTAACTATAACCATGAAAATGGGTGAAACTTAAATGAGATCGGGTTAAAACAAACTTTTCCTGACCAGAGATTTGTTTTCTAAAAGAAAAAAAAAACGAATATTTCCTATAGTTGTTTTTAGTTTCTAAGAAATGAGTAAATGGCTATATACGTTGTGTGAATTGTTAGCGTAATTTATAAGGCTACGCCTACACTTGTTGTATTTTAAATGAAAATATGTGACCATTGATATCAAATCTCTTCTAGAGTTATTCGATGCTTTGTGAAAGTGTAAAGAGACTTCCAATACAATGATTTGTCCTCCTTTTATTGGAAAATTGCTAACTTTTAACTGTAAAGTAATTAAAATAGATAATGATATTCACTGGTCAAGCTTTCTTTTCTCCACTGATCCCTATTAAAAGGTTTTGAGCCACTTAATGTTTTTCTACCGTGGGTCAACCTTTTATTAGATGTAAGATCAATGTCAAATGCATGTAAGATTTTTTTTTGCCCAATGAAAAAATGTTTAATGCTTTATTGTTGAATGTCTTTGTTCTAACACAAAAATTTTCTCTTTCACATTTTTCTTTGCTCTCGTTTATTCGCATTTCACTGGACCTATCCTCTGCTTGGGGAAGAAAAGTTGGACAGCATAAATTAAGTGATCAATGACATAAACTTATCATCAACAACCATGCCTTCTTTAGGTATTTGAACCTACATTGTTTCACTAATACCTTAAGGTACCTTCTATTCCCACCAACTCCCATGAACTGATTATTACAATTTACAACTCCCATGAACTGATTATTAGAGCATGTTTACTCATGAACCAAAATGAGTATCATTAACAGTTTTTTATTATTGTTTTATGAGTTGAAACCCAAAATAAGTATCAATAGACTCACCCCAATGATACTTTTCATCCAAATATCAACCCAAAATATATTTTTTTTATTATTATTCATGGGATGATACCCACAAAAGAATCATGAGTAAACATGCTCTTACAATTTACAACTCCCATGAACTGATTATTACAATTTACAACTCCCATGAACTGATTATAATATCTTAACAACATGACCAATCAGTGAGACTACATACATTCCTTGCGATAAAAAAAATACTATACAAGGCGCCACAGTACATTCTCTTTTTAGTGAGTTTTTAATTAAGCATAAATATATGCAATAATGTTCCAATTGGTTGAATCTTTAACCTGATGAATGTTTCTTTGAAGAAAACAAAGATAACTTCTTAACATTAAACCCAAAAAAAAAAAACAAAGATAACATCTTTACTCCATATATATCTGCGCTAGTTCTGTTCGAATGCATGTTTATTGTTTGGTATTTGACTTACATATCAACGTCTCTTATCTATTCTCTCCATTTTCTATGGCATCTTTCTTGAAAATCTTCAAAGCATACCAATCTCTTTATGCTCAAAGCATACCAATCTCTTGAATTAATTATTTTGCTTTAACCGGATGAGCAAGATCAAAAATAGTTTGTGCAATATCATATGTTTTCAAATATGCATTTTACGTAAATATAAGAAAGTATGTAAATCAATCCTCCTAAAATAGAAATAGAAATCTTAAACAGTCCTTAAATACATGTTTAATTATAATTATAGATATCAGATTCACAACAATGCCAAATTAATTAGAGTAGTGCAGCGGAAGCGTGGTGGGCCCATAAGCCACAGGTCTGAAGATCAAAACTTCATATTAAAATTCACCATCTTTTTTTTGTTAGTTTTACATTTAGAGAAAAACACACAATTCTTTTCATTTCATGAAGATTGTTTTTTTAGAGTATATGTAAAAAGTATGGTTTTAGATTTTGAGGTATAATTTATATTGTAATTTAAATAACCAAAAGTTTGAATTATTTTGAACCAAAAAGATACTTATGTTTAAATTATTTTTTTCCGACAAAAACATAATTCAAGAGTAATGTTTACCTATAATTTTATACTCTAGAAAACTGCTCCAGTGTTGAAAACAATAAAAAGGTTGATTTTGGAAATTTTCTTTGTTCGAAACTTCAAATCCATCTGAATTAAAAGAATATCTATTCTACCCTTGACCATCTTTTATGAGTAAATTTTAAGAATTTCTATCCATGAAAACCCGTATATTTTGGGATCTGTCATTCTCCTATCATGTACCTATAGCAAAAAATCTGATACATACATAGAGTGACAATCGTTGTAAAGAAAAAGAAAAAAAGATTAACACTCAATCATACACAACCCAAATCTGTAAAAATAACAGAGATACATATAATTAAGTAAATGACATGAAACTTATTTAGATAAATGATCAAATAGAATCTTAATGTAGTCATTAATAAAAAGTCAAATACACATGTGAACGCGATGGAGATATCTATATTTATTTTGGGAAGGAATTAAGTCGACTGTCGACGTCGACGTCGACGAAAACAAAATTCCATCATAATGTTGGGTAAAAATGTAATAAAGTTTTGCATGAGTCTTGATTTTTTTGTTTCTACAAAGTCAAGCCACGTAGATTGCGTAAATGCTTATTTTGATTTATAAATTCATTTTAGACTTTTCATACTTAACTTTTTATAAAATAAATACTTAATTGTTAATCTCAATAACATTAAGAAAGCTGTGTGTTACCGTTGTTAGGCTCATTCACTTCGTCACTTATACAACAAAATGTCGTCACTCATAGTCATATTAATTCCTCATGTGAAATTTTAGATTATTATTTTTTTGGCTTCTTTTCTTTGGTTAGCCTGTTTTAGTTGCACTTTCATTTGCGTTTACGGACTGAATAAATTGTTTGAGATAAACTTCGGATTATTCTAGCAAAGAGGAGATGTGATTTGAGTCGATTTCTATAGATACGAATCTATTTGTTAAGTAGTAAAAAAGAGAGAAATTTTGATTTTCAAGAAATAATGCCATAAGAAGTCAAAGGAAGATAATGTCATTATGGTTAGTCAAATAAAAAATATTGTAAAGCCAGAAGTTATGTTCATACCTGCTTTCCGTCGACTTTAAAGTTTTCATTTATAAATTTTATAATAACTACACTAGTCTTTTACAATACTCCATGAATTAATCGCATTTGTTCATAAAAAAAATACTCTACTAGTCTTAATAAATTGTAATAGACTAAGGAAATTTTTTATTTGACCAAAAAAAGATTAAGAAATTTTGATTTTGTTTACAATAATCAGTTGGTAGTAAGATTTTAGGGATTGGAATAATCAATTTCCTTTCCAAAAATAAACAATCATGAGATCCTTTCATAATTATTTGATACTCAAGATTCTTTTCTAAAAAATAAAAAAATAAAAGTGTTTCCTTCATATTTAAATACACTTAAAACTTGCGTTACTGTTGCAATTCTCACAATCTCACAAAGGAATTGTTTTCTTTCTCTCTATCTCTTACTCTCTGTTTTTGTTCGTTTGTTTGGAGAGAAAACAAGAGAAACATTTTACTTTAATCTTCTACATTTTATTAATTGGATCAAAGGATACATTACACAACACCACACACACACTCTTATACTAGCTTTACTTCTACTTACTACACACACTTGCACCATGCTTCCACTTACACCTTACTTTTAGACATCATTACTCTAGGATATAACCAAGCTCACAAGCAAGGTTAACCAACAACTCTTACACAACAACAACTCTAGTCTTTAGCTAACACTTATGACTTAACTAACAAAACACACTTCCTTTACTTTGGGCCTTAACCAAAAACGTAGCCCATTAGTCTTCTTAGGACCAAACCACACAAAGCCCAACACCCTTCTTCTTGTTGACTTTGCTTCTGTCGTTGACTTCTTCTTCTTCTCTTCGACGACTTCTTCGGCATCTTCTTCGTTGTGCTTCTTCTCTTTTCTTCATCTTCTTCTCACTGATTCCTTTTTCTTTATTGAAGGATTTAATCAAGGATCCAAACTTCAACACTCCCTCTTGGATCCTTTGATTAAATCCCCAAAATTCAATTTAGAGATTTAGAGAAGTTCTTCATCATCTCCCTCTTGCTTTGATTCTTCTTAATCGAGCTTCTTTCTTTATCTGCGGTGCATAGCTTCTCCGACGACAGCTAGAGGTCACAACTCTCACCGATCACCAGTCACCGTCACGATGAAAGTCTCCGCCGCCGTTTTCAACCACCACTTCGGTAAGTTTGCTCTTCTTCTCCCTCTTAAGCTGAATCCCTATGGATCCAACACTTTTCTTTCATTTTTTGTTGCGAATATTTTTGCCATCTCTTGGCTGATTCTCTTCGCAATCTCCTCTGTTTCACTTTTGATCAAATTCTTGACCAAAAAACTTTTCCTTGCAGGTAACACTTCGACTCTTTAGCTTTTCTTTGCCTTGAGCCTTCTCCATGTCACCTCCAAGTCTTTTCCGTGAGCTCTTCTCACGTCTCTTGCTCGGCTGA